ACAAACTATAGCAAAGTTTTTATTTTTAGACTTCATCAATCTGACGCTTTGCTATTTGTTTACAACTCATCAATATTGATGAAGTCTAAAAATAAAAACTTTGCTATAGTTTGTTTTTCATTTGCTACTTGTTTTTTTTTTTGTCTTCCATGAACAATTAGTTTCCCTTTCCCTTCTCTTCTTCCTCCTTAATCCCCTCAATTAGATCTCTTAACCGCCCTTGTTCTAGTCCTCTCCCCGTGTCCAGTACTTCTAGATTTCTATGTATCCTCGTTCCTCAAGACTTTTCAACCACTTCTCTCTATCAAGAACTTGACCTGCACAGACATTATCAGTCACTTATGAATCTGCATTTTTCCAGCTTTGCATCGTTGATAAAAACCAACTAAAAGCTTGCTTCTGAATGAATAATAAGTCTCATTATTTGAACAGCGAAAATAGCAGTAATAAAAGAAACCAAAAAACACGGAACTGCTTGATGGCAATGACGAAGGCGGTGACGATGATGATGATAGTTGCGATGCTTACACAACAAATCATGGAAAAAGTAGGTTAAAAAAAAATACTGAAGAAATTAGGTAAACAGAATGTAATTGGTTACTTTTTGGATGCACTTTACTGGACCAACGATGATAAACAGTTGTGCCTTTGTTGCTTCATAATGAAAAAATCACAAAAAAAAGACGCACATATAATGTCTGTAATCGACAAACAGCTTTCAGGTTTTTTTCAAAGCTTTAACTTAGTCAACAACAACAACACACACACATACATCAACATAAACACCTACAACACATAGGGATGTCTATAATTTTACATGCTACCACTTTTCATCACCTTCCATCTTTACGTACTGTTATTTATTTATTTCTAAGTACCATACCAACACAAATATTTTGAAGTCTTATATGACCCATAGAAAAAGAAAAAAAAAGAAAAACAAAAATTTTGAACAGAACTTAGTAACCCCCTCCCATCCCCTGTTCGCTTACATCCCCTGCTTCGTAATTTTTTTCCGCTCTATCTCCTCCCACCCTCGTCAAAAATAACAGAAAGCAAAACAAAACAACTACGAGAGTCAAAAAGTACATTGGGCAAAACTGATCGCAACCAACCAACTAACTAACTAGCTAACTAACTAACTAACTAACTAACTAACTAACTAACTAACTAACCAACTAACCAATAAACCACTGTGAACCAAACAAAACAACAAATAAAAAATTCCACACAGTACACAACAAACTATTTGTAAACCAAATTCACCTAATGAGAAAGCAGAACAAC